AAAAGCTCATGGTACCAAATCATGTCATGTTTCCAGCTTAAATTTCGAGAGCAAACAACAATTTTGCACCAGACAAAGAATATACATAATATATATGTAACATAATTAAAATTGTAGCAAAAATATCTATGTAGCTTTAATGCAAAACATTATATATTTGATTAATAATATATATATAGTAGAATATGCTGCTGTTTTTATAGACTATATTTTCTTCTTTTTTTTTCTGTTTTTTCTTGTGGGTACCTTGATTGATTTCCAAGTCTGCCTCTTGGTCCGTTTCTTGATGTGGGTATTTGGTACATGAAGTGAGAGGAGAGGCATGCTATTGGGGTACTTGAGAGACCGTATCATACCCTAACATTTAATATCATTAAATTTTCATATTTAAATCACAGGGAAAGCAAGCATATGTCGTTTAGTACTTGTATTATTGTACCATACACCACTCAGACGACTAATTCTTACATAATTTGTCTAATTTATGACATTTATAGGATTACTTTAGATTTTAATATTTGGGTTTAGATCTCTAATTCTTAAATATACATATATATATATACTTTTTTATTATAAAATAAATATTTATGACATTTGATCTTAACACATAATTGATTATAAGAAGATTTCAATTTTGAAACTTTTTTAACATTAGTATGTCAATTTTCTTTCAAGATCTAAGAAATCAACTAACAATAAAATAGATTTTATTAGCGACAAGAGCAGAAAAGTTTATTTCACTTACATAGACCTTGACAGATCAAGATACTATCAAGAAAAAAAATTAAAATAAATAAATATATATGTAAAATAATTTAATAACATTCATGACCTTGAATGACATTTGGGCAGGCCATGAAGACGTGGCAGCCACTTTCTTGATAAAAAACCAACTGAAGTTGCAATCTCCACGTTTCCTTCATAAGGGGTACACGTTAAGAAGAGATGAGCTATGAAACAAGAGTCAAAATTATATATTCCCATTGGTTGGAATTTTGGGAACTCTTTTTTTTTTTTCTATCCCCTAATTTGTTCATATTATTATACACCCATTTGTAATGATTTTGGGTATCGCTCACTTGATAAAATACTAAACCAAGTTTTCTCATAAATTGTGTTAATTTGTGTAACTGCATTTCTCAAAAATTTAAGACGAAAAAAAGATTCAATTTTTTATAATACTATTTAAATTGTATTATATTTTGTCATATGTAAGACAGATGATTAATGAATAAATGAGCTTGTATATAAATTAAAATACAAAAAATTCATGAAAAAGGTGAAGTTTTCAAGATTCAAACACCATATATGTTACAATGTTCCAATTTTAATTAAGGAATTACATAATCAAATGTATGTATAATAATAGAACCTTAAAGATAGATTACTCCATTGTAACCGCTAGTAATTAATTCATGAAATCTCCATTGTAAACAAAAACGTACAACATCATCGGCAGTTGTCGGCAGCCCACGAAATGTCACAACAGTGGCAGCATTAGTTCAACACGTATGATTAAATGAATCATCACTTTGTTGGCTGCATTTCAAAATCAATT